GTTTTATTTCACTGTCATGCGTCATGACGACCATCGAGTGTTTGAAGGCGTCTTCACCAAACAGACTCAGGATGAACTTCAGAGTTTCTCTGTTGCCTTCAGTGAAATCTGAAGGTTTCACTAACAGCAGCAGAACATCTGGTCCAGGAGAACAGAGACTCACACAGCTCTTCACTTCTTTTCTCATCATCTCCTCAGACAGACTGAACATGTCTGGAGTTTTCACGACTGTTAAAGGTTTTCCTTCCCACTCTCCACACATGGCCACACAGTGCCTGGTAGCAGGATGTGTTTGCTGATGAAATCCTTGGTGACCGATGATAAGGTTTCCCAGTCTTGTCTTTTTGTCTTCACTTTTCCCCAGCAGCACAATCCTGAATGCAGACACTGTTGATACAAGAGAAAATAATAGAAAATATGTTGATTAATGCATTAGTTTTCTTTCAGTAAAGATGTGATTATTCACACTGACAGATGAAGTCCAAATATCAACTCTCCAGCAAATTATTTTCATATACGTCTGAAGAAGGAAATACTGTTGTGTTGGATGTAAATGTTTGTATGTTAGTTAAACTGAGGGCATAGGTTCGGTCTGAATGTTCAGATGAGCAGTAACTATTGAAAGTGTTTGTGCTTAAAATCTTTTCTCTTTTATGGCTTTTCAAGACCGAATCATGTTCAGTTTAATTTTTCTTTTTCCAATCAGTATTTATTAGATGAACCTTCAGTATCATCATTGGTCCTGTTGGTCTCCATCAGTCTGAACATCTGGACGCTACAGCTTCACCTCATTCTTCTGATGAAACTGTTCAGACTCTGTCGGGTTCCACAGGGATCATGAGTGAACAGAACTTTAAGTCCAGACTCTGATTCTCAGCTGGATTGAGGTCTGGACTCTGACTGGACCTCCAGAACTTCACCTTGTTGTCTTTAAACCATTTCTGTGGAGCTTTGGCTGTTTGCTTCGGCTCATTGTCTTGATGGAAAACAAGTCTTCTCCACGTCTCAGTTCTCCTGCAGACTGCACCAGGTTGTCCTCCAGGATTTCTCTACACTTTGCTGCATTCATTCACCCTCTACCTTCACAAGCCTTCCAGGGCTTCTGCTGAGAAGATCCCCACATCATGATGCTGCCACCACCGTGCTTCACATCATGATGGGGCCATCACCATGCTTCACATCGTGATGCTGCCTGCATCGTGCTTTACAGTGGTGATGTTGTGTTTGTGATGATGTGCAGTGTTTGGTGTCTGCCAAACATTTTAATTCTTTACCACAAAGCAAGTGTCAGGAAATGGTGTTTTTTGACCTGTGTTCTCCTCCAGGCATCCACCAGAGGGAGGAACTCTACTGTGACTGATTCCCTGCAGGTGTGTGGGCTACACACCTGCTATTCATTAGGTTCGTCACTCAGTGTACAAAAGGACTTGTCACCATTCAGTCTGTGCCTGAGTGTCTTTTTACATAGTCACTTCGAGCCGTTTCCCTCCGAGTGTTTCCCTCCGAGTGTTTCCTTCCAAGTGTTTCCTTCAGAGTGTTTTCCATCCGTGTTTCCCTCCATGCCTCCCTCTGTGCTTCACTGTGACAATCTGGACCATCAACTCACAACTGGTAAAACCCCCTCCTTTTTTCTACCTCATCACTACTCACAGTTTTCTGCAATAAACCTAATTTTTCCTAACTCCACGCCTCCTAAGTGTTAATTTACATTTGGGTCAACCTGCCTAGTTATTCCTGACAGCAAGTTTGACACATCTAAACTTTCTTTGTGTAAGTCGACCCGACAAAAACTAAAGCCTCAGTCAGAGATAACAGATATGATGAAGGTGATTATAAACTTTCTTTTTTAACTCAGGTTTTCTGCTTCAGACTTTGTGCGCAGTCACATAAAAGCGGGCATTTAATGCTTCATGTGACTCTTCTGCACAAAATGATTCAGTAGTGTCTCGAGCAACAGGCTGTTTTAGTGTAGAGCTACAAGGAATATAAAAATGTGTGGTCAAAAGTGCTGCTACTGCAAATGATGCAAGACAGGAATGCTGGTAGAAAACTGTTAATCATGTGTTAATACACTACTCACAATAAGTTAGGGATATTGTGAGAGACTCAGTGGATTTCATACATACAGTCTTTGTTTCACTTCAGAGATTTCTGGGACAGGGAGGNGGATTGAGGTCTGGACTCTGACTGGACCTCCAGAACTTCACCTTGTTTTCTTCAAACCATCTCTGTGGAGCTTTGGGTGTTTCCTTCGGCTCATTGTCTTGATGGAAAACAAGTCTTCTCCACGTCTCAGTTCTCCTGCAGACTGCATCAGGTTGTCCTCCAGGATTTCTCTACACTCTGCTGCATTTATTTACCCTCTACCTTTACAAGCCTTCCAGGGCTTCTGCTGAGAAACATGATGCTGCCACCACTGTGCTACACATGATGCGGCTGCCACCGTGCTTCATCATGATGGGGCCATCACCATGCTTCACATCGTGATGCGGCCAGCATCGTGCTTTACAGTGGTGATGGTGTGTTTGTGATGATGTGTTTGGTGTCTGCCAAACATTTTAATTCTTTGCTACAAAGCAAGTTTGACACATCTAAACTTTCTTTATGTAAGTCGACCCGACAAAAACTAAAGCCTCAGTCAGAGATAACAGATATCATGAAGGTGATTATCAACTTTCTTTTTTAACTCAGGTTTTCTGCTTCAGATTCTGTGCGCATTCACATAAAAGCGGGTGTTTAATGCTTCTGCACAAAATGATTCAGTAGTGTCCCGATTACTTCAGTCAACAGGTTGTTTTAGTGTAGAGCTGCAAGGAATATAAAAATGTGTGGTCAAAAGTGCTGCTACTGCAAATAATGCAAGACAGGAATGCTGGTAGAAAACTGTTAATCATGTGTTAATATATTTATTTTCCTGATCAATGCAGCTGATTATTGATAACTGACAGTTGCACATTGAAGCTGTTAAACTTTAAAGTTCATATATTTAAACATGATGTACTGAAATGTATTTGGGTCTGACGCAGTTCCATAATGCAGGAAATCACTTTAATAAAAGTCAAGTGAGTGTCGCAGATTGACTGTTCTCTGCAATAAATACCAATTGATAATCAGTGTTCTAATCAGTGATCTATCAGCTGCAGTACCAGCAGAGTAAACGGACCAAACATAAAAACATTTGTCATTTCTGCATCACCAGCTGAATACATATAAGTTCCCATGGCAGCGCAACACATGTAGAGTGCAATTCAGTGGTTTTAGTAACGTACAGATCAGCTGAGAAAACATCATCATCAGGAAACATTTTGGTTAAAGGGAGACGCTGAGCAGAACCTGGACGAGGTTAGCATCAGTTCCCATGGAGACCTAGCTCCACAGCATCAGTTACCATGGAGATCTAGCTCCACAGCATCAGTTACCATGGAGACCTAGTCGATTAAAAGAGTGATCTTGCATCAACTTAGTACTGGGTGTAATTCAAACTCTAGTTTCTAATTTACTCTTCCTGCTCTCAACGAAGGTGGACACTGTTTCTCTCGCTCCCAACCTTGTCCTTGTCTGCCCTGTTTCCTGCTCTTTGTCTCTCTCTGCATTTCTCTCCAAAACCTGAAATCATGGATTTGATCAGCTGGTCTCTCAATGCAATTGATCAAATTATCTCGACAAGAAAACTGGGCAAAGGAGAGCCCGCCTGCCCTGACGGAACGTTTGCAGCGGGATCCACGACGGACTCCTGGAAGGAGTGGAGGGTCGTGTGCCTCTCTATACTTTCTGTGGAAGATGTTGAAGACATCTACAGAATCGGGATCGTGATAACAGGTTTCCTGCTGTTTGGAGTTTGTGGGTTCCTGTTTTATTGCAAAGTTCGGAAGACGATGGCAGCACTTTGGCAATTGAGAAGCTGCCCGTCACTGATGGAATATTTCAGGCTCAGACTCAAGCGATATGCGAACTTAATCGCAAACTGGATGGGATTCCAGAACTTATTCGCAAGATGGGTACCAACTTTGAGCAGTTGAACTGACCGATCCAGTTGTAAATGGTCCATCGAATTCGTCTTTTTGGATTATAGAGAGAACCAGTGGGACTGTAAGGACTGACGGTAAATCACACGTCGGACTGACCCAAACAATCTTCGTTATCTTCATTTGGCTCCCCCACTTCGGCTTATCTCTGATATCGCTCCACTTTTCCTGGATGTTATGCAGACAGATGCTCGCCCCTCCCCACCCCCCTCCTTCTCCTGTGATCTTTGTCTCTGGATCAGAACTCTTCAAGGTCGTCCCCACGGCAACAGCCGTGTCCCGTCAACAGCATCAGACGGCAGAGACACTGTTGAGTCCCCCCCCCCACACGCACACACGCACACACACACACACACACACACCCACCCACATGCAAGTCCTGAGTTTTGTTGTGATGTTTTATCATGTTGCTGATGTGTTGAAGTATTTTTTTCCTAATTCCACGCTGTGCCCCCCCCAGAGGAGCCTAGTTTGGGAATTGCATTTTTCCCCTCATTTTTCCTCTTGTTTTCCTTTTCCTATCTAAAATAAGTGGTGCTGCTCACGCTCGCTGTCCCGACAGTTTCTCCCTCCTGTCTCCCCCTGTTATTGGTCACTGTCTTTTTATGTTTCTTGGACGGGATGCAACTGGTAATTTCGTTGCGCTGTACTTGTGACATGTGCAATGACAATAAAGTTCTGATTCTAATTTGTGCATTAATTGATTTCAAACTAAAATTCAAGTTGAGGTAACTTAATGAAATTGGCTTGATAGCCTAATTTTACTTCACCTTCGGTTCAGGATTTCCGTGTCCTTTATATTTACATGCTGGACACTTTCAGACAGGTAAGACAGTTCAACAGTCCAGACTCAGTTAAACTTACGGTCAGGTGGCAGAAATTCAAAGCTCCATCTGCGCTTTCGTGGCTGCACATCTGTAACTGTCAATGCAGAAAACATACAAATTAATTCATTATAAATTATTACTGTTCTTACTTGAAGCATCTAGTCTCATTAAATGCCCCACAACAACATGAACATTTGTCCTAAATGTCATAGCCTTGTTGTTAATTGAAGGACACAATAAATCTGCTGGGAGAAATCCTTCTTAATGCAGGAGATGCAACAGCTTTCAAAGGGAATTTATTTAGACTCAGTTTCTGTAACACACCTGCTGTAAATGACCTTTACATGAATAAAGTCTATGTGCTTGTATAGTCCCGTCCAAATGATGTCAGCAGAATAACGAGCAGCACCAAAACTCAAGCAGGTATAAAACTCAGTACGACGACTCACCAGGTGCTGCAGTCTCCATCATGTGACTGTCACATCAGAATTAATATCCTGAAGACCTACTGCCGGCTTCAACAGCCTGAAAGAACAGAAGAAAAAGTCCATCTATTTATCTCACTCATCTACATGCAGACCTTATCATCTGAAATGCAGGTGCTGGTCATATAATTAGGATATCATGGAAAGTTTATTTATTTCAGTAATTCCATTCAAAAAGTGAAACTTGTATATTATATTCATTCATTGCACACAGACTGATATATTTCAAATGTTTATGTCTCTTAATTTTGATGATAATACTTTAACACTAATGAAAATCCCAAATTCAGTATCTCAGAAAATTAGAATTTTACTTAAGACCGATACAAAAAAGGATTTCTAGAAATGTTGGCCAACTGAAAAGTATGAACATGAAAAGTATGAGCATGTACAGCGTTCAGTACTTAGTTGGGGCTCCTTTTGCCTGAATTACTGCAGCAATGTGGCGTGGCATGGAGTCGATCAGTCTGTGGCACTGCTCAGGTGTTATGAGAGCCCAGGTAGCTTGAATAGTGGCCTTCAGCTCTTCTGCATTGTTGGGTCTGGCGTATTGCATCTTCCTCTTCACAATACCCCATAGATTTTCTATGGGGTTAAGGTCAGGCGAGTTTGCTGGCCAATTAAGAACAGGGATACCATGGTCCTTAAACCAGG